GAAGGGAAATCGTGCGTAGACATAAATACGCATATATAGGCAGTAAATTGACCCCTGACGCACACATCTATGCTGGCCTTCTCCCCCATCACTGAACATTGCTAACATCCTGAGACATTGTCATACACGGTAGGGAACATAATTGGGTGAATATGTCAGTGCTTTGTGTTCTTAGTGACATGAGTCCTGGCTGTTCCTGTGGGGGCAGGGTACAGTCACCCAGCGGCTTATTCTGCAATTCTAAAGCACATCGTATCTTTCATTATTGTATTTCTTCTATTTTTCTTTTCAAACAGCAACGCTCAAGTGGGGGTGGACTTACTCATGTAGTATAGCTAGTTGACAATGGAGCAGAATTTTTTATGGAGGAGTGTAAGATAGAAGAAGTGAAAGTGACTATGCTGATAAATGAAACCTAAGTTCAGCTGTTTTTGTTTTACCATCAGATGTGTATCACCGCAGTCAAACCACTTCCATATTTCATTTTGGCCAAACGTGGCTTAGGGCCACACGATTAATCGTAATCTAATTGTAATCACAATGTTCATGGTTGTAATTAGCATATTGCAAAGACAGACAAAAAAAATCACTTGAATTTGTGAAAATGTCTCAATGGAAAATGCAGACATAGTTCTTCTTGTTGTCTTAAAGAAAAAATATTTTCTGATTCCAAATGAGACAAAAAATTTGAATCACTTAATCCGAGATGGTAAGACTGTGTTACGCAACTCAGGTCTTTTTTAGAATTTTGTGACTAAAGTATAAAAAACTACTTCATGACGAGTGAAAAAGGATATAGGAAGTGTGGATGAGGTAATTGCTTCATTTTCCACTTTTTCAATTAGATCTTTTGTTAAGTTTTTATTTTTACAATGAACAAGTACGACAATCGTAATCATAATAGTTTAGAAATATTGCAATTATATATTTTACCCAAACGGTGCAGCCCTAACATGGCTTACATTTCATCCCTACTCCTCCTCTGTCCTAACTCTCATTACCGTGTACCTTGCTGCTTCTATTTGTCTGTTTTGCCCTCTTGTTGGTTGGTTTGGCCTGAGCAGCTGCAGCTTCACAAGCCCTTGGCCTCATTTCAAAGGGGGGAGTTGATGTGTCGTGTCAAGTCATTTCGTCCTTGGGGGAGAGTCAGCATTGGGCTATACAGAAAGATGGCTCTCACCTGCCTGTGCGCAGCTCTGACTGATGGCTACCTGTCTCCACTGCAGCTCGGAGGGCCTGTATGCGGGTGCTGAGTGAGGCGCCCAGCTGCTCAAACCAAGGGCACTCGCGGCGCCACAGTTTACATCCGCCTATGTCTGCTCGACCCTTGATGAATACACACCATGGGTTTATGACACAAGAAGCGTCTTTGTTTGAAAAAATATATATCTTTTTCACTAACTATCCAAATTTACTTCAAGTTTTGGATAGTTAGTGAAATGTGATTGTCAAACTGCAAAATGTAAAACCCTCTGACTAGCACTATTGAAAAGTTTGATAGACTAGTTCTCACTCACATGCATGACTTTCCGGTCTCTATCACAACTTTGGATCCGATTTTTCAGGTGGAAAAGTGAAGCTGAGATAAGCACCCCAGTTTTCTGCACACATAATTTTTATATATATACTCTGGTTTGAGTTTCTCTGTTATACACATTTGCAAACTATACTACTTTTATCTCATATAATGACGGGCACATTGAGGTCCGACTTGTTCTCAATGTTTAACTTACAGGCACTCTCAAAATGAACACAATGCAATATTTACCAAGAAAATAGACATACCTAATATTTATTTAAAAAGAAAATAGTCAGTAATCATATGAAACGATTTGGATTACACAAATGTAGCTTTATCTTTTTCAACCTTGAAATGACATAATTACATATTCAGCAGCAACAACACCACCTTAGTCACTTCCCTAAATTTGTAAACAGGAAAGGCTGACCACCAAATGACCATAGTAATTAAATCAACTGTAAAATTACTCGTCAATGTGTTTGCTAAAGGATTTATAAAGAAAAATCTAAAACATGGAGTAAGAAAATTGTGCTTAAATAGTGCATGCAATACATTCCCATATCCTAAATTTAATCCTATAGCTCCAGCACCCCAGGCCAGAACAAAACAAGGACTTTTTTCAATTACGTCTTAAGCGATATTGCACTTCCCTTTATAAAACTCTTGGTTCTGACTTGTCAATCACACTTATGAGGTGCCTGACAAGATATGTGTAAAAGCAATTCCAATCCATGGGGCTATCGGCTCGGTTTTACTTGTATCAATGAGCAGGTGTCTCTGTTCTAAGGTACTGGGAGATTGAAAATAGAATACATGTGAAACTCTCGCTGTCTTGCTAATGATACGACATAAGCCCGAGGTAACAGAGACAGGTGAGCCGTATCCTTTAACATAGAAAACATTGCAGCAGTACATTCAGTTTGACCACAGAGAGAGAGAGGGAAGGAGAGTGGCAACGCAACATTACGAGCTAATCCACCACTATCACTCTAATCCCTGCATGTACATATTGCTAATCTCTTTAGCTGGTAACATACTAAATTAGTGCTAATAGAGGAGCCAATGTCGACCACCTACAGTTGGGATACCACCCAGCAACGGTCACTCTTCGCCTTGAGAAGAATAAGCAGACATTAATATGTGTGGGATGAGGGCCGCGTGGGATGGGTGTAGGTGGTAAAAGGGAGTAGGGATTTAAAAAAAAGTATTTTCAGTGATAGTCATTCGTCACCCTGCCTATCTCGCCTTGAGGAGACATAGCCTGTAATGACATTAGGGGGCACAATTCAATATATTCGTAAGCGCGGATTCATATTTTCTGTACAGTATACCAACTGTATAGACTTTCTTTTGTCTCATCATCTCTTGTTCTCTAAAGAAATGACTCTTGTCTGTGATGAAATTCCGTATGAATAACAAGATGTTTTAATGTAACCAAGACAAAGTTGCTTTTGCTGCAAAAGTGACGAAAAAAACTATTGTTAGGACATTTTCTTGTTTTACTTTCTTTTCAAATTTTATCAAAATCAAAAACACTATTCCAAATGAATTCTGAAAAGTGAATTCTAATGTGACTTTTTCCCATTTTTTATAACATATATACATCTGTTGATCAGATAAACAAATGATTACTGAGAACTAGATTAAAGTGCTTTTTCATCGCTGTCTACAAGGAAATGTGAGTTTATTTGAAAAGAAGCAGAGTTTATTTAATGTACCATACACCTCCTAAAAGGTTTACCCAGTGCGCTGTAATATGTTATTTCAAAATCCTTGCCACCACATTTCCTCTGAGGATAGGGGATACTAGTGTTTTCTTATATTTTATGGGACACATGCTTTAAGCGCATGTGTTGCAGATGTACCGTACACTGGGTTAGGCGCCAAGGTGGAGCTCTTAAGAAAAACATCAATAATCCTCTCCCGGTAAAACCACCTTCCAAAAATTGGCTATTACATCAAGAATTAGGATTTGAGAATCACAGAATTGGGGTTTTTGGAAAGGGTGAAAATGTACTTCTTACAATTCTTTGAATGGGATGTGATTGGAGCTAAAGTTCTCAGAATTGGCGTTTCGTCTCAAAGCAGCAGTTTCCAAGTGACACAAAAGTTCCGAGCATGAGTCGAGGTAAAGTTCCTCTTTGTGTTCAGTGGGTCTGCCTCCAGTGTCTGTCTCCAGTGTCTGTCCTCAATAACAAAGCCACATTAACAAGCACCCTACAGACTGTCTATTAGAATGTGAAAAAGTGCCATGTGCTGTATATTAGTTTTTAGTGACTAAACACTTGGGAGAGAGGCGACCTAGAATCAGGCCTTGTGGTGTGCCGAGTCTGTATGTTCCCATCGTCCTCTCAGCTCCACTTTGGAGACAGAGCGAGAGCTCATTACATCTATGTGCTGCTGAATCCTCCCCCAACCTTCATCCTCGCTCTCTCGTCTCCTTCTCTCTGCCTCGCTCTGTCCGTCTGCTTAACAGATGGGAGGGTCGTGGGTACCGCTCTTCCCCTCCCCCTGGAGAGGCCTGGTGCCTGCTCTAAACCCGCTGCTGCCTGCTATCTTTGCCATCTTCATATTGTATTTACTCTGAGTTGTAACATTTCAATTTACTTTAAAGTTACTTTAAACTTTACAGAAAAATCAAGTTGAAGAGTCTGATCTAACTTTCTGGTACAGTCTATTTCAACTTTTTGCAGATTGCTTTGACAAATACGAAGGTTTACTTGAAAATATTTTTATAAGATTTATCCACAGAAAAGACCATCTTCTTAATCTTCTGTTTCATTGTTGTTTGTATTTTTTCTTTTTGCATTACAACTCCATTGCCCTGTCAAGGTCAGAAGTCAGTGTCAGTCCCTTGTGAGAAATTCCATTCTGAGGATTACTGCCCTGTGCCACTTGACCACATTCACTAAGCCTGCAATTGTTTCCATGGCTTTCCCCATGTTTCACTGTCTTGGCGTCATGAGGGTAAATTGGATTGAGCTGAAGCAAGGGTAATCGGTTAAGTTAACCAATGCTCCATGCAAACCACTGGGGGAAAGGGAGCATGGGACGCGTGCCCAGTGTGGAGGTGGGCAGTCTTTATCCAGAAGCTGCCTTGGCATTTGTGTCTGGCGGAGGCGGTGAGAAAGTGTGGTGTTGGAGGTGGGCGAGGGGAAAGACAAATGGGGACTGAGAAAATGACACATAGGAGAAATAGACGGGGCAGAAAAAAAGGATGAATAGATTTACCTGTGTTGACATTGCTTCTCTAGTTGACATCAAGTTGGCATTTTAGAACCTACAGTACAATATCTCAGCCGTGGGGAAGAGACTGAAAACTTCAAGGAAGCGCTATGTGTATAATGAAGAAGAAAATGTCTTTTAACAGTCAATTAACAATATGCAGGGTGATTATGGTGAACAAATCAGACAGTCAAGCTTCATCAGCTATTGTCGGACCCTTAAGGACTCGAGAAAGATATTCCTCGAGCATCCCATGATCCCTCGAAACAAAGTGCGGCGTTTTGTGGGTGTGCATGGACCTGAGAGGCAGTGGCAGCAGCAGCAGCTCACCTCAGGGAACACTCGGCTGGAGTCGGGAGCCAAAAGTGTGGATTAAGTGTTCAGCACACGGGCTTAAGTCTTAGCATTAATGTTACGTAAGGCCCGAGGTGTTGCCCCAGTGGGTGTTGACATTGAGAGGTTGAGCTGTGTGCACTGGGCTGAGAAGGGGCCAGGAGGCAGGGATCACAGAGGTAGCTCCCTCTTGTTTGGAGCCGTGCCCAGGCCTTGTGTTGTTGGGAGAGGGCGAGGGGGGGTTCTGTCAGCCTGTGATGGAGGTGCTCTGTCTTGATTGATATCCTTGTCTGGCTGTCTTGTGCCAAGCGTCTTACTGTTGCCTTGTAATCCGAGTTTGTCAGACAACATGCCTCTTTGTTTTCTTCCATGGGGCAGCTCTTTGTTTGTCTATCTGGGTGTGTTTAGACGCGGCTGTCCTAAAATGATTTTGGATTGCCTCTTTAGAGCTGCCACTAAGTTATTTTAGATAGTTGTTTTTTTTTATGATGGCACATTCTTGCTGTTGTCCAAACTGCCAAATGATGCATTTATGTTTGTTTATTTCCGCAAAAAGTAGGCGTATTTTGAGCCATCAACTCAAGGAAGTTATTGTCATCCATTCCATAATTGTTCCAGTCTCATTGTCTAATACTTTTCCAAAATGTCAAAAGAAAACACACAACTTACATTAGTTTAACATTGCAGACAATCAGAGAAGACAATTCATTTTTTTTGTCACAAGTCGATTCTACGTAGTTTTATTTTTACATCAGATGCACATTCTGATGCAACCTTGTCTATTTATGCAGGCATGGGGCAGGTACAAAGAAATCTTGCTTGCAAACGCTTACATCTCTGTGTTGCTGTTGTCTGAAGCTCATCTTTCATTATATATTTACCTCTGTTTGGAGGTAGAGTCCATGGCATGTTGTTGACAAGTTCAAGGGACATTTCTCGCTTCTTGGTGCGTGTCACCTCTGGTTTATCAGGAATGAGGTTAGAAGAACAGCTTTGAACGGGAAGAGAAAGCCTGGCAAGTGCATTTATGTGCGAGAAACTATGCAATGACTGAGCTGTATAGAGCGCAGTGGTTGGAGAGTGATAGAAAGAGAGAGTGAGACTGACATGTCTTTTGGTAAAGCTGTGTCGTCTTCCACATCGCCGTCTGATGCTTGTGCTGCCAGGTGCCGGAAATCTGGTTCAGAAACGAGAGACGAGAGAAGAAGGAAAAAGTCGAGGTAAAAAGGCAACGTAGATGGAGGTTTCTTTTTTTCTTTCTTTTTTCATGTGACGATGCTGACAGCTCCCCTGCATTGCACTGAGCTTAAATAATGGGATGCTCATTTGCATAACGAGGGACGTTATCACCTCTACTGTCAAAAGAAAACACAACAACAGTTCTTGTGCTCCTCCCTGAGATAGATTGGGTTGGCCTACTTTAGCACTCTGGAGAGATGCACTGGTGCTCGGGCTCCGCTACCTTCACCACGCTCACACTCCAACACACACCTACGGTATACGAGCGGCACACAGGCATGCTCCGGACAGTCACTCACTCATGAAAACTTTTAGAGAGCAGCTTTTTGCACATGCAGCTCTGTTGTCTGCGGCTGCTGAACTTAACAGAGTGGAGGACTTCTTAATACAAGTCATCTACACTGTTTTATGCTTAAAAATGGCTTTTCGTTGGTAAATTTAGCTGTATATGTTTGTATCCATAGCAGTTTTTTTTTTTTGCAAAGTATTACCAAAGCACAACAGAATCGCTGTATTTTGTGGATTGTGTAAATAAAATGAATGTGTGAACGTGAAACATCTATGCCATTTCCTTTGAAGAGAAGTCCTTAAGTAAAAATGTAAAGAAATGCGGCAGACTCCATTGTCTATATAACAGCAAGAGACAAAATGTATTTTTGAGTCCAAAGGTAATGTTACAGCGTTGGTGATTAGAGCGTTTAAGTTAGCGGCAGTTCCAAAACACTGTCAAACTCTCTGTGAACGAGGCGAGATCCTGACAGCACTGTCTCCTCTCATAGTTGCTACCTGAGGAAAAAAAATAATAAAAAAGACAAGAGAAGGCAAAAAACCTGATTTGCATGATATCGACACTGAAAAACACAGCACTTCTTACAACATTGTTGACAGATTCTTTGTCTTTCGTCGCCCTCCCTTGTGGCTGCCATGATGCCACTTTTTTCAGTATTTTGCCATATTTCATTTTATTTAATGCTTCCCCTCCCCCCTTTTCTCCTTTCTGTTTTACAGGTACGAATGCTGGGATCTTTGATTTGACTGGAACAAATAGAAAGCTGAGACAGATAAAGGAAGAGCTAGAACAGTGACAAGAAAGAAGAGAAAGAAAAGAAGGGAGAGAAGAAAGAAGAAAGCATACAGTTCTTTGGAAAGAGGAGAGAGAGAACGACGGGGACGATGGGGAGGAAAAAGATTCAGATCACGCGGATTATGGATGAACGCAACAGACAGGTAAGCCCCTGGGGTGCAGCAGGATGGATGAGAGTGAGGGAGAGGGGAGGAGGGGGGACACCCTACACCCGACATAGACCTCAACAATGACGGTCTTCTGGGAGTCTGGACAATATCTGAACCAGGGACAGTGCTGCACTGCCCCAAGTACAATACTGTCAGCTGCTCTCTTCTACTACACATTTCATGGATTTGACCGATACATTATGAAAAAAAGGTTTATTATATGACTGAAACAAAAAGTGAAATTAATACTTAGACTCCAGTCGTTTAAAAAATAAATAAAATAAAGTAATTGTATCCCCAAAAATATGACTGAACTATTAAGTTAGATGTTATCCTTCAGGACAAAAAGAAAAGAAAACATATTGTTACACTTCAAAATATATATTATAAGTTAAATTTCAAATACGAAAAGATAAGATAAACTTTATTGATCTCACAATGGAGGAATTTACAATGCATTTTATTGTATCATTTTGTGCTACTATAAAAGTATCATTGTCCACTAATACGGAACTAGAGCTGGGTTTAGCCTTTTGTGAGATAATGTTTGATTTACCTTGGCTGATAATGTGCTGCGATGGTAATTCTCGAACCAAAAGCTTTCTATCCTTTATTCGGAGTGGAATAAAATCTGTGACACAATACACCATCTGCGTTGCACAAACCATAAATGGGAACATGTCTTGGCTGTACGCTGCCTTTGTTGCAGGAAGTAGATGGAGACAGAGCGGTCTTAGTGCCCCCCAGGCCTACAATCGATCACATCCTGAAGCAGAACTGACCACTAACACTCTGTCCGCTTCCTGGCACTCCAATTGGATCCATACGCTGCTGTTGGCTCCTGGTTCACAGGTCACACCACACACAAGGAGCCTATAAACATCGGGACCTTTGGCAATTCACCTATTTTGTTAAACATTAAGCTTCATTATTGATGCAAAAGTTGATACGTAAATGTGTACTCATAAGATAAGATACTTCTGTGCCACCTGCATCTCTCCATGGACAATGCAAAAGTGAAAAGGGACAAATGTCAAAAGTATCTTGCAATTTTTTGGGACTTTTCTTCTTACTTTTTCTGCTTTCTGAAGAAAAGCAGATCTCGGGTCACCAAGTTCTGAGAGAAACGATTATGGCTATTGTGTTGCAGCAGCGCCCGCACTTCCTCCCCCCTGTTATCTCAGCCCTGCTCTCGCGCATCCCGCCGTAGAGCAAGCCGCCATTTGCACGAGGCGCTCCGGCTCCTGAGGAGAAGGAAGGGAGAGGGAGACAGGAAGGACACCTGAGGGGAATCGATGCCTCAGATATCCGGGCTACACTGACGAAGGAGAGAGCAAGGCGGAGGAAGGAGAGGGTTCAGGGAAAGGCAAATCAATAAATAAACTTGTTGTTCTGTCATTTGAAATACACAACAGTCCAAGTGTGTGAGGAGAGTGTCATGTCACCTCTGACCCACAAAAATGACATCATTTCACATGTAACAAGAGGACATAACAAGAACTCCACAGACAGACAAAAGTTTCTCATTTATTTTTTGCAAAAAGGAAAGAAAACAGAAGTTTGCATATTTTCACTTCCTTATTGAGGTTTTTTTTTTTCTGGCAGTGTCAAGACCAAATATACAACTGTTTTGCGTACTATCAAACATTCTACTCATACATTTGGTTTCTTGCTGTTTAGCTGATTTTTAATGGTTAAAAGAACATCTTCAGGAGAATATAACATAAAATAGCCCATAAAAGTGTAATTTTCCTCCCTGTCAGCGCCACTTCTCTCCTAAGCTTGCATTTGGAGTGGCACCACTCTGTGTGGCTGTCAACACCACCTTGCCACCTACAGGGCAGCTCTGCCTCTCTGGACCCGGCCTGAGCGCATGGCAGACTTGGGCACAGGGCCTGGCTCTCTGGGCGGCCACTTCGGGCTACCACCTCCAGGCCTCAGAAACACTTCCCCGACGCAGGGGCACAAGGGCCAGGCCTCCCTGACGTTGACTGGCTGCCCAGAGCTGTGGACAGTAGGCAGCAGTGTGTGAGCTCTGGCTTCAAGCCCCCCAACCACTCAGACCCACTCCCAGCCACGGGCACATGAAAGGGCCCCCTGTGCCATGGGCTCGGGGGCGGCACATAGGTGCACACACTAGAACCACCACTTTCAGCCGCGCTAAACATAGGAACATGTTCAGTACAGTGTGGTCTGAAACATACCAGATTATCCACTCATTTTCACAAGAAGCCCATCTACTCTCTGGAGACTTTTTTCAGAATAAATATAATCTTTTTTATATAAATATAATCTTTTGACAATATCAACTCCGATGGGAACCCTCCAAACTTAGAATGTGCACCATTAACGTCTAACTCTGTAAACTCTTTATTTTTAAGTATTAATTAATTAATTATCAACTTGGCTTTTCTCTGGATTGTACTCCTTGTAAACCACTCAACATCTTCCACACAAATGACACAAATCTACACTTGGGACAAGTACAAAAAAACTTGAAATTAATTGGAGGGTTACATAATAGTAAACTAATTGTACTCATTTTTGGAGAGTTGTTTCTGAATCTATGTCCTTTGTGTGCTGTATTTGGGGGGAGGGACATAAGGCCCAAAGGTTAAACAAGGATCAGGTCATCAGCAACAGGAAACAGCACAAACTAGATCTCCAAACTCTTCCCAGACTTCTCCCAACACTATCACACATCACCCAAGGGGGAAAATTCTAGTTGTACGTCATCTCACCGGCTCCTCACCATGTTCACGGCACTTAGAGGGAAAAATGGGTCTTTTTGTTTCAACGACAAAGCATTCTTCTTTCCAATCAACAGCACTGGGGTGAGAAAATATGTGAGTGAAATTAACAGCAGGAAAATAATGAGGCCCACAGGGTAGCTCCTCACCCTTGCACCCGGCACTAATTCCCTGTTTCCCACCTTCCACTGGCTGCGTGTCTTCCCACAGCGAGCGCCACTCCTCTCATCATATGTTCTGCTGTGAGAGATCACCTGCGCGGGCTCTCCAGGCTCTCACCCTCTCACAAACACACTTTTATCCTCATTTTGCTGTTTTCAACTAATCACCTGTTATATATCACTTGCATGTGTGTCCCCTCTCTGTATTTCTGTTCAGACAATCTTTACAAGTATTTTTTTTTTATCAGTATGCATTTGTAAATAATGGATGCTTTTCTCAGAGAATTGCCAATTGTAGATATTTGGGGCCTTTTTCCTTTTTTTTTTTTTTTTTTTTTTAGATCATTACTATATTGGTATTTATAGAAATACAGATTTTGTGCGAAAAGGGTTAGGGTTAAAAAAAAAAAAAAAGCTTTTTCCTTAAAAGGTGAAATTATGTGATTCATTTCTCAGAACATCTATATATGTCCCAAATGGAGGATGGTCAAGTTATTTTTGTTATTCCGGCAACTAGCTGCGTGACATCCACTTTTGACCAGTGGTTCTGTCTTCCCCTGCAGATTTTCCAAAACAGGAACTTACAAAGAGTCAGTGTAGTCGAATCAGTTGTAAAAAAAACGAATTTATTGAATCGTGATGGAAAGGAGAAACCAGTATCGGAAATATACACTGTGTAAAAATAATTCAGAATAATTACTCAATATTTTTTCATTGAGCCAAAAGGAATAATATTACTGAAAATAACCGACCTATTAAACACATTTTATTCATTTTTAGGCCACCACTATATTTAGAGTATCCAAAGTGACCTGAAGTGTATTCGGTTCCAGTCAGTGTATGCATGCATTTATCAATATAAATATATACAGTAGTACACTCGGCAGGTTTGTTGTGCTAAATCGTTTTTGGTGCCACTCTCCTCCCCTCCTTCTCCCCCAGGGATTTGGGGCAGGACGAGGGAAGCAGAAGCGAAGCCATTGTGAAGGGAAGCCACTGGCCTCTTCCTGTTATGAGAGGAAATGCATTCAAATGTGCTTCCTGTACGGCTGCCCCTTACTCTTCAACCCCACCTCGTCCAAGCTTCGTCTTCCACTATGTTGTCTGCTTGTCGTTCACGTTTTACATTTATAACCAGGTTGCGTTTATTGACTCTATTGACAAAAGGACCATCACAGTGTTTAAAAGTAGAACAAAACAAGTTTTCCTAACTTGACCCCAGCATGAGATGAATCCCATACACTGTAGTCACCACTGCTCCTGACAGAGGCCCTAGTGCCTTTCAGAGATAGGTCTAATGCAGAAGGCAAATGTTCCTTAGCATCCAACACCATACCTGCAGGTTTGAGATGTGCTCTGCCCTACATAACTTAATTAGTACTGTTTTATGAGGTGCACATGCTCAACTATTTGGTTCTATACAATCTATATTTTGTTCTCAGATCTTCTGGTTGGATAAAAAAACATAAACACTTTTTTACACATTTCTGACACTTTTACATTATTAAAAAGATATAAAGCACAAAAGTATAGCATTAAACATAGCATTTAAAAACAAAAGAAATCTGTCTTTTCGAAGAGGAACAAGCAGTTATACACAGAATTACTGATAGATGACAAGTTGGCTCTTCAGGTAAAATAGATTTGGTGTCAAATATTCAAGTCAAGTGTCAAACATCCAATACTCTATTGACATATAATTGTCATTAGACTATGACTTCTTGAGACCAGTTATCAGAAGGAGAGATGCAGGTCATGTCATTACAAATTTCAGTTATGACCTGACCAAGATAACTCAGTATGTATATATGTATATCAAGAGCAGTGCATTTTTTATCACATTATGCATGCTATATCATTAACATTATCACCTGAGAGCGGCCATTTGTCCTTATTTATCCCAATCTGTGCATGGCACCAGTGCTGTTATAAATGAGTTGGAGGTAGCAGGTTGTATGTGTCAGGTAGAGATGGGGGTGAGGTGCGATGATTATGTAGGCGTTATTATATGGTCAGCAAAGGTTTTCATAATCACACTCATTCTAGATGATGCCAAAGTCCCTGTGAATCATATAAAGTAAAGTCTTTCCTTATTGATTCATTTTTCAAAACCATTGACTATCTTATTTCCAATGCGTGTCTGTTTTCTGTGGCGTCATGGTGCGCATTCAAACATGGATTGATTTGTCATCCAGTAGCTTTAAGCCATGATGCCCTTCTCTCCCTATGGTCAGATAGAATAAGTGACACCTTTTGCCTGCTCAATTTGCATTTACTAGTTATTTGTTGAAAAATATTGGACCTGTTCTTTCTTTGTTGCAAGGAAAGAATCAAGCAATAGGTGGATTAAGAGGTTAGTTGAAATCTGATTTAATAAAGTCTTTAAAGATGCGCGAAACATGCAAAATTCAAGCTTAAACAGTCATAATAGTAAGATTTCGACAATATTTCTCCTTATTACAGAGTGGTTAACTGACCTTTTTAGGCGGCTTTCACTTTCAGATCATAATACATTCCAACCCAAGGTATGACAATTAATCTTATTGTCACAAGATGCTTTTTGATCTCATAAGAATCGAGCTTGTTTTTTCTCTCCACATTTCAGCTTTGGCTGTGTAAATGTCAGCATGGTATTTAGAGCCCTGGGGAGGCGCTTCTCTGCATGTTGGCTGAATCAGATGGTCATGAATGAGCCATGTGAAAGTCTCTGGCAAAAATAGACAAATTATGCCAAAAATTGCTATTAAAATATATAGCAGCACGACCTAAAACAAAATATATTCAATGTGAAATGTAAAATATGAATTGTGCGGTATAGCCAGAGCATGGTTTGGCTTGAGGAGAGGCGAGGGGTTTCATATTCAGTTTCCCTGGTGCATCCTGGGAGATGTAATTTCAGGAAATTCTAAACTAATCTATCAATATCCATTTAACCATATATCCTCTTACGGGGCTGAAGTTGTAAGGAGCTCAGAAGAATATGTGAAGGGCATAATACATTCACAATATTAGTATTTGTTTGGCTTGAATTGAGGCCATTGCTTTAGTGTTAATCTGTGTTTGTTGGCTCAAGAAAGTGTCAGAAGAGAATAGACAAACCCTCGGCTAATCAACAAATGGGATCTTAAGTTACCAGCTGGGCACAGTTTTGGCTTATATCCTCATCTCTAAGAGGCATTGTCAACACAGACGTCTAAAGTAAACGACAAAAGTATTTTAATGAAAAATAAAGTAGCAGATTTGCTCCAAGAGGCAGCCTGTCACTGACATATTTTTTCCCTTTTTAGTTTGTAGACAACTGTGGAGTCGAGACACATGGCTTGGAAGAAAGCAAGTGCAACTCTCCAAAATCATGTATTTTCAGTGCTTTTGTTCAGAGCCAAACAATAAGGGAATACTAGGAAAATCTGTTCCTTTTTACTAAATAAGCAGACTTTTTAACCAATCCCCTGTATTCAACAATAATACACAAAACCACTGAATAATGGAAATGTTTTTTTTTCTGCTGATTATCAGAGAAAATAGTTGCAAATAAAATAATGGCAGCCTGTGGAAGGAATATGGGTTTACAGACACAACTGTATAGGCATAAGTGGTTCACAAACATCACTGTTGGATGAAGTGAGTCTAAACTAGAGTGTCAAATGTCAAATGTTCTCTGACGTACCACTCCACTGTGCTTTGATCGACATACATCAACTTGTCTTTTACCGTTATCTGAGTATTTTCAGTTCCCCAAATGAAGGCCAAACGTCTTTTTCCTGCTATAGTCAAATGTTTGTTACACTCAAATGCTGAAACATCATTAGTGGTTTTACAGCAAAAAAAAATGTGTGAAAACCTTTACATCTATAAACCATCTGGTTACCCTTTTAAATGTCTAGCTTGTCTTCATTCTGTGCTTTTCTTTTACCAGGTGACATTTACGAAGAGAAAGTTTGGCTTGATGAAGAAGGCGTATGAGCTCAGTGTGCTGTGTGACTGTGAGATCGCCCTGATCATCTTCAATAGCACCAACAAGCTGTTCCAGTACGCCAGCACAGACATGGACAAGGTCCTGCTCAAATACACAGAGTACAACGAGCCACACGAGAGCCGGACCAACTCTGACATTGTGGAGGTGAGTGTCTGATCAGCGCACTCACAACAGTACACAACACATGGACTGTCATGGACTACATTCTGACAGGATCTTTAGTTACATTGTAAAACCTCGTTAACGGATCCTGCCGCTGAGGAGGCAGCTGGGTGCGTGTCACCTCTAAGGAGGATGTTGATCTCACTTGTATTGGACACATGCAGTCAAGGCTCAAGGCCATGTTAAAAGCTGCAGGTAGATAATGAAGGAAATGACAGTCAGCCTCCTGTAGCTTTAGGTACTCAACGTGAAGCTGTTACATTACATAACAGCTTGACGAGTGTCCAGGCAAAGCTCCACACTCGGACACGCTGTCTGACTATTTCTCAATTAGTGTAAACAACTGCCTTTGGTACACTTTGAGATTAAGATCAAATAAAAAAACATCATTTCCTGACAGTATCGGGGTGTTACTGGGCTTTTTGCCCACACACGGGTGTAAGGGCCCACAGGGAGCGCTGTGGTTCCAGATGGCATGCTGGCCCAGGCTGGATACATTAGAATGTGAACAGTCATATCACATGTTCCTCCTTAAAGATTTGACCTCACATTATCCTCCTGTCCTCCCGCTTAGTCCCATTTTAAGGGTTAACATTCTCAAATGAATCTGGAATATATTATTATTATTATATTGATTATCAATACAGCATGATATGTTTAATGTGGAAATACTGTGATGTAGAAAGTGCTTTACTAACAACAATGGATAGTTTCCCGAATGGATTTAATTGCATTCATATATTTATTACCGAGGGGCCTGACATTTGGATTGCAGTCATGACTGCAACAGTATATAGTATAGGTGCCAAAAGTAAAGGGACTATTGTAAAGTGCCAATGATCTTCAAGGATAATGTGTTATATATATATATATTAGAGCTTTGGAGTGAAAAAGCATGGTCTCATTGTAGTCCTTTTTAGCCAGAGATGTCCAGGCTATTTGAAAGAGGCAAGGGAGACATAAAGAGACTAGTGATATAGTAACTACACCATTATCCCTGGAGTCCATTGATCCAGAGAGTCCTTTACCCTTGGCCACTGCACACTTGCACACAGTTGAGCCGAGGGCTGGTGCGTTTAGCCTGGGTAGGTAGAGGAGTATCGGAGGTCATCTCCTGTCGAGCCGTGTGTGTTGCTGCCAGGCTCCATCACAGGTGCAACAACGTAGGTGTCTTTGCAGTTTGAGAGTGAGGGGCACTTCCTGTTTGTGCAGACAAATGGAAGCAAGGTCAAGAACTTGATGAAGGACTGGAGGGGGTGATGGGAAAGCTAGAAAGATGTCCCCAAAATGTGACATATTTGCTGTGACATATCATAATTCATACACTTGTCTTTGGAGACTATGAAAAAGTCTGCATTTTTCTGGCATGCTGCTGCTCTGCCTGAAGGTGTAGTGGGAGGAGAGCAGAGGTAGGGGAGCGGAGCTCACAGTGTGGGCGGCTGGCATACAGGCCTGCTACATTAGCAATAAAGCTCTGTGTAATTAGCATGTCTTTGGTTGATAATTAGCGTTGTTGAGAGAGTGGCACTGGGAGCGATGCACTGCCTCTCCTGCTACAGCATGTTTACAAGAGGCTGCAGGGCTATTCTTTCCCCTTCCTTAGACTATTTCTGTCTCATTGCTGCTGTAGGTTGCTTATACATAGCAAAGCATGTACAAAAACTAATATTTGACCTATCTACTAAATGGCAGTGGTAGAATATGAACACAATATTGTGTCTGCTTCATAATTTGCAGATTATTCTAAGAGCTCTTGAAGCCCTCTGCAAAAGCAATCGTCTTTCCGCTGTCCTAGCAGGTTGCATGCATGTCATGCTGGCAGCTCTTCAGTGCACTCGGAGGCTGGCTGCAGATAAAACAGTCAAACACGCACATAGATTTCCTATACTCGCCGTTTGCCAAGCTGGTTTCCTGGACATGTGAACAGCATTAAAGGGGAAATGGGAAGTAGTGTTGGGAAATTACAAGAGAATAGCTTCGCCTCTCTGTCTTTATTCCTCATTAAGAAAAAAATCACTTGATGTTGTTATTGTTGATCTATTATGCAAGTTAATTGTAAATGAAAGTGGTCTTTTCTTTCTCTTTGCGAATGGTTTCGGATCAGGTTTAAACGTAAGCACCAGATGCTCAGTATCCTATCCCTGCTCACACAATGTGTTTGTAATCCTCTATTTTACAACAATGAACACAAAGCTAGTCGATGGTTATTCACTAAGCTGCTCAGTCCCAGGATTACACCAGAAAGGAGAGCAGGCACTGATATTATTTCACTATTGCTTTGTTGTGCATATTTTTAAACTCTTGTTTACTTGTGACAATAACACGCTTCACAGCAGCCTGAATCACATGGTTCTGCACATGTTTTGGTTTTGCTTGACCCGCTGCCTGCCTGTCTACCTGACCAAATGAAAACATGTGCGTCCAATCCCATTTCCAAAAGATTAACCTAATCTGAACATTCACCTTGCTCTGTAATCTCAAACAGTGGACCATGGTCTGCTCTCTTATATATACTCTAGCCTTTCCATAATGTGGATTTCTCAAAGAACTATAGCACATTAAGAGGGGAATAGGAGGGACAGGGGAATGGATGAGTGTGAGAAGAGAAGGAGGGAGAGAGGAGGAAGGCTGGTAATTATTTCCAAAGGTCATTCTGTTAATGACTACCCGCTTGGCTAATGAGATTCAGCAAAGCTCCCTCGCCATGTTTCACCCTGGCTGCGTATGTTGAGCCGTGTACGGAGGAGATGTGAGAGAAGCACAGGTGTGATTTCAGCCCTGTGACAGTCCGACTGGAACAGACCGAAAAGCGATAGAGGGGCCAGTGTGGAGAGGAATGAAAAAAGCCTATGCACTACATTGTACGCTGTGTTCACTCTGACTGTAGCAATTAGTGAAATTCAAGTATAGAGGGCAAGCTGTCTGGTCTGCGGAGTGTGTTTTAGCCTCTGTGACTAAATAATAACAAGATAAACTAAAGCTGCACATGACACTCACTTGTGCTGTTAGCCTGAACTTGCCTGAAAAGTATTGGCATAACGTTTTCTTTGAAGTCCAAGAGAAGCTTTTATGAATCTTACATAGTAGTGTTTTTATTATTTAGGGCTATAGGCTAGTCTTTTTCATGTTGGAATACCAGCCGAACATGTGTTAGTTTATTTTAGTCATAGTTTATAAGAGAAAGCAGCAAACATTATAAGACATTGAACACATGTTTGGGATTTAGTTCTGTTTTGAGGCAGATGCAGCTTAAATTCACATGAGTATAAATTGCAGCACAGTTTTCTAACATATTTAATTGTTTTGTTAAGAGTGTGAAGTCAGAACTTTTGTCACGCCCCCTTTTTTAGTCGACAAATTGATCGCCCGGGGTATATTATATTATCAGCTCCACTCACTTCAATCTCCCACAGAAAACGTGCTATCTATTTGTTTTCCATTGCACATGGTGAGAAGGGGGTGGAGTTTTGGGGCGGGGCAGTCACATGATCGCTGCGCACAAGTGAGTTTCCTAATAATCATCATCAACCTGACGGATTCCCTTTAAGCTTTAGGCTTTGGCCGCACAGTGGATATAGTGGCTTTGACTGGATAAGTGCATTAACCTTTGACCACAGCCGCAGCAGCAGTATCATGGAACTTCCCTGTGTCTTCAGAAAACGGGGAACTTCTGCTTTCTTGTTTATGTGGGGCTGAAACATTTAAGACGTGATAAACATTGACGTTAGATTTACGATTCATGCTTCATTCATGATTCATGTTGGATTCTCTTCAAGGTCTAGATTTTAAGGCAAGCGCAGGAGCCGTGACAATACGGATGTCCTTAAAGGCAAGAAGTAAAAAAAATAAAAGAAGTTATTTAAAGAGGAAGAAAGTAATTGTTTTTACTTTTTGGTTTTTGTGGGCTTGCGTCTCAAGGTTTACCTACTCAAAAGAATACGAAAAAAAAAAGAACAATGAAAGTATTCCAAAATGACTGCTGTTGAGTTTTCATTTGTAGAGTGAGCCTCTTCTAGATTAAATATGTTTGTGTTGCTCTTAAAGATTTGGTGGTTTACTATTTGTTACCACCATAATTGCGATTGTGATTGATCTTGCAGGCCTAATAGGCACACATTGGTTCAAAATTGTATAAGTATGTTAATTATACATGTATAGTTGCAAGAACATATGATAGATGATGATTATTAACAGCCGTACATATTCAATCAGGCATTGATTTTTTTTGATGGTTAGTTTGAAAATACAGTTTTATAAACATGACACCATTGGCAATACTCTCTCTTCTAATTCATCTCCTTGTTAAAATCCTCAAAAAAACCCACAGTCTTCTAAAAATAGGGTTTGGTTAGGCTAAAAATAGTCTGACTGGTGGTTTTTGCTGAAAGAGTAGAAGAATAGGCTCTCCTCCTGTTTAATTTGAGGGGGTGGAGGCTGTTTTGAGACTTACAAGAGTGCAGTGAGGGGCTTTCATTCAAATGTCTTTTACCATAAAAAAAACGCCCAAGGCAACTACAAAACCAACTGTCAGGCTTGTAATATCTGCTCCGTGAGGTTTTTTTTTAAATTTGTTTTATTTCTTATTCATGGTGATGTTCAGCAAGTGACGTATCAGAAAACATTAAGTGAATATAGCACTAAAGTATGAGATTAAACAATGGTTCCCAGTTCTCCCTCCTGCTGTGCCATGAACCTTTCACTCTGTTGGACTATTTTACAGACCATTTTACTGCAAACATTATAACAAGGCTTTTATGGGGCCTATTGATACTTTTGTCTGAGACTGTGAATTAGCCTTGGCTCTAAGCGTTATGACCCATGCATCAGACTGCTGTACTACAGTTTTTATGTATGTATTTATGTCCCCACTCAAATAAACTGAATACAATAAAGATTAAAAGATCCTTTATTATTCCCACATTGGGGAAATTATAGGGTTGCATCACCAGTTACAGAACATAAGGAATGAGGAGCACACAACA